ATCCACTCACCTTGGCCTCCCAAAGCACTGGGATTACAGGCTGAGCCACCGAGCCCAGCTCCTACTTTTGTTTTTCATCTAGTTCCTATGTATCTCTCCAACTCTTCCTTTCGTTCACTTTCCTCCAGCTATACCAGCTTTTGACCTGTTAAACACACTAAGCTTATTTCTATGTCAAGACCTTCATACTTGTTCTATTCCCCTCCCCAGGAACGTTCTTTCTCCAAATCTTGTCATGGCTTAATTTTTCACATGAGGTGGGTCTTTGCTCAAGTGTCACATTCGCATAAATACCTCCTTTTCCTGACGAATGACTTTTAAAAGGGCCATCTCCTACCCCACAGCCTGATGTCCATACTCTCTAATGCTTGCTTTGCTTTTTCTCCACAGGCCTTACCTATAATCACCTGAAATTCTGTTTTGTTGTTTATCTGTTTATTGTTTGCCTCCCTAATCAAAGCAAACGTTCCATCTTATTCACTACTGTATCCACAGTACCTAAATTAGACCTGAAACAAAGCAAGCATTCAATAAATATTTGGTGAAAGGGATAGTACAAAAGAAAAGTCAGAAATACTAGTTACAGCAGCCAACTACTGAACTGTATAAAGGTAAACTGTTGTTTCTACCTATATGTTCTTACTTGCTAAATCCTAAGTATGTATGTGTGCATGTGTTTAAAACTAACCTCTTCTCTTAACTTTCCTTTTTTTTAAGCTTTCCTTTTTTGCCACTACTGGATGTAGAGTATACTGAAAGTGGTTAAATTGAATAGACACTTCTCAAAAGGCATACAAGCAGCCAACAGATAGATGAAAAAATGCTCAGCCTCACTAATCATCAAAGAAATGCAAATTAAAACCACACTGAGATACTACCTAACCCCAGTCAGGATGGCCAACATCAATAACTCAAAAAACAATGGATGCTGGAGAGGTTGTGGGGGAAAAGGGAACACTTCTACACCGTTGGTGGGAGGGTAAACTAGTACAACCTCTGTGGAAAACAGTGTGGTGATTCCTAAAAGATCTAAAAATCAACCTTCCATATGACCCAGCAATCCCCCTTCTGGGAATATACCCGGAGGAACTCAAATCATTCTATAAAAAAGATGCACATGCATGCTTGTAGCATTATTCACAATAGTAAAAACATGAAACCAATCCTGCTGCCCATCAAAAATGGGTTGGATAAAAAATATGGTACATATACACGATGGAATATTATGTAGCCATAAAGAAGGACAAGATTATGGATTTCACAGCAACTTGAATGGATTTAGAGTCTATCATACTCAGTGTTCTACCACAGAAACAAACAAGTGAAAACCACATGTTTTCATTCATAAGTGGATCCTGAACATTTATCATAATACTAAAAGTGATTGGCAGTGGGGTGGGGGCACTTAGCATCAATAAGGGCACCTGATCTCAAACCAGGTGAAGGGGGACCAAAGGGAGGCCCAAACTCTACCTGCACGATGACCACCTATGTAACTAATCCTGAATTATTCCCCACATCCTTAAAATAAAACTTAAAAAAAACAAAAACAAAGATAGGTTGCTAGTGCCCACTACCCGATTCCATCATAGCCCTAAGATGCAGAATAAGCAAATGTTCAGGGTTATTGTTTCCTAACCTTTTCAGACACAGAGCTCTGGGAGCAATTTCAGAGGTACATACAAGTAAATCTCAATTTCATCCCTAATATAGTTATATGTCCTTGCCCTGCCTCCAAAAAAAAAGAAAGTAGTCAAATTCCCCTTGTATTTATTTCATAGATTGACAGAATTAAAAGAGGAATGAGTATCACACAAATATCCTGGAGTTGGAGTTGAATGCATTAACTAAATAACGGCATTATCTTCCTCTGGGAGAGAGGGTGAGTATATTTTGGTTATGTGTTATAAGTTCTCTGTGCTGGTCAGAACATTTTTAAACCACATGTGTAAAAGAATGAGACTCTATGGTAAGAAGCCAAGATTGCCAACCAAGATGCCCTTCCCTCTTTTAGTTAAGGAGTCACAAGATATTGCCTAGACCAATCAGATGCTCTCCCCGCAAAGTCAGACTCTTGTATAAATTGTTGCCAAAATGTGAAAAAAATGATTAATTTGATCCAAAATATTGGTGGTTTCTTAAAAAGAATGGCCATTAGTTCCAGCTCTAATTTCATCTTCTCAGAGGTATGCTTCCTCAGTCTATCTTTCAATTTTGTGAGCTACTCTATATCTTTTCTTCTCCTGTTTTGTTAGCCAACAAAAACCATTATTTCTTTATTTGAAAAATGTAGATAATACTGACAAAGTTTTGGTGTGAAGATTAAATGAGCTATTCATTCAAGTACTTGAGTACTTCTACTGACCAAGACTTGTAGATAGGGATATAAAAGCAGAAGACACAATTCCCAAAAAACAGAGTAGAAGAGTGAAAACCATGACATATTGAATGCTGATATGATCTGGAGCTCCTGTGAAGGGATAGTCTTTGGTAGAAGAAATGCTTCACCCATTGTATTAGACTAAACCATATGAAACAGACATATTTAACCATTGTTGAAATATAAAAGTGGAGGGCTCAGTGACTCAACCTGTAATCCCAGCACTTTGGGAGGCCAAGGCGAGTGGATTGCCTGAGCCTGCAGATTCGAGACCCACCCGGGCAACTTGGCAAGACCCTGTCTCTACAATAAATCAACGAAATCAGCCGGGTGTGGTAACGCGTGCCTGTAGTCCCGGCTATTTGGAAGGCTGAGGCGGAAAGATCGCTGGATCCCGGCAGGTAGAGGCTGCAGTGTCCAGAAGGGTGCCACTGCACTCCAGTCTGGGTGACAGAGTGAGGCTTCAACTCAAAAAAAAAAAAAAAAAAAAAGAAATATAAAAGTAACAATTTCATTTAGTCAAACCAGTAGTCAAGAAGCAGCTACACATGCACATAGATTTAGTGACAGAAGCTTAAAGAGACATCTGTCTTATTTGTATGCAAAATGCCTAAAATTACAGACACTCAGTAGTTTGTTTAGGTATAGATTACTTTTTGAAACATAATTCATGAAATATGCATTCCTAAAAGACTTTGTATATAGGAAAACATTCATTCTTTTTGGATATTCTTGGTGCTGATGGGGAAAAGGGATGGATTCCCAAATTTTGTTTTTTTAAGTCAGGGTCTCACTCTTTTGCCCAGGCTGGAGTACAGTGGCATGATCATGGCTCACTGCAGCTTCAAACTCCTGGGCTCAAGTGATCCTCCCACATTAGCCTTCCAAGTAGCTGGGATTATAGGCGTACAACACCATGTCCAGCTAATTAAAAAAACTTTTTTTTGTAATCATGGAACCAATCATGTTGCCCATCAAAGCTGAACTGGATTAAAAAATGTGGTACATACACACAATGGAATATTATTGTAGCCATAAAGAAGGGCAAACATATGAACTTCACAATAACTTGGATTTGGAGTCGATCATACTCAGTGATCTATCACAGAAACAAAGAACAGAGTACCATATGTTCTCTCTCACAAGCGGACCTTGAACAATTATACTATAAGAAAGGGGCCGAGCTCGGTGGCTCAGCCTGTAATCCCAGCACTTTGGGAGGCCAAGGCGAGTGGACTGCCTGAGCCCACAGGTTGGAAACCCAACCGGCCAACTTGGTAAGACCTCGTCACTACAATAAATCAAAAAAATTAGCTGGGCATGGTGTGTGCCTGTAGTTCCAGCTACTTGGAAAGCTGAGGTGGAAGGATCGCCAGAGCCCAGCAGGTCGAGGCGGTGGCCAGGAATGTGCCACTGCACTGCAGTCTGGGCGACAGAGTGAGACTCCAACTCAAAAAAAAGAAAAGGATTGGCAGTGGTGGGAAACTGTCAGAGGAGGAAGGGGGTGAGAGTGGCAGTTGAGGGAAAATGTTTGGGGAGGGAGGGGCATACCTTATCAACAAGGGGACCTGCATAATCAACGTTTGTATACCTAGCCCTGAATTGTACCCCACATCTTTATAATAATTTTTTTTAAATGTTTTTGTAGAAACTAGGTCTATGTTTCTTGGGCTGGTCTCAAACTCCAGGGCTCAAGTGATTCTCACACCTTAGCCTCCTAAAGTGCTGGGATTACTGGTGTGAGCCATTGCACCTGGCCCCAAATCTTTAATTTTCCAATTTGTTATCTTTCTGCATGAGACACTGAATTTTTTGATCCTCAAAAATGTTTAAAGGACTAAGACAGCCTATATGAAATCAAGACAAAAGAAAATCACGCTCAATTTTTGGAATAAACTAAAAATTAAAATCAAAGAAATTATAAACCAATTGAATCCTGAAAGTACACAGGCAAAGCCCAATAGCAGCTTTTAAAATGTTGCTCTAAAATTTAAAATATTGTTCTTTTGAATATTATCTTACTGCCATATTTAAATACTGCTGCTACCTTTAAACTGTCATTGATTATTCTGTAAAGGTCTGGTGGAGACTATTATTAGATTAAGAGCCAATTCTGCAGCATTACTATGTGTAGTAGTCTGCTTATAGCCTCAGCCTGGCTTACCAGTCCGACTGCTATGGTACTTGGTACTGCTAACAATGCTAGCACACTGTTGTCAACAAAACTCAAAGCCTGGGTAGGTGTGTCCAGATGGAAGAACCTATGTTACAAGGGCAGCTGACAAAATAAGTCCCTGACATTTTTAGCTTCTGTAGAGGGAGGAGTTTCTGCCTCAAAACCAAAACCAAAAAATGAGGAACTTCCCAAAAATAGGAAGGGGGTTCAGATTATCAGTGTTTTAAAAGACTGACAGGTTTTCACTTATGTATGTAACTTAGTATACTCAAGTTATAAAAGATATACATAGGGTGCTGAGAGAAGTGGAAATAGGTTTTCAAAAGGATCACAAGTCATATCTGCAGAAAGCTATATAGAATAAATCTATGGTATCAACAGAATCCAAAATTATAACCTTACCTTGTAATAACGGAAATAGTCTCGCTCTTGCAATTTTTGTATTTTGGGGAAGATTTTGTAGGTGTTGAAGTTATCAATGCTGTCAATATCACACAAGCAATCATCCAGAACTCCAGTAACCTAGAATTTATATTTATATATATAATTTAAAATATGTAAATTATTAATGTTTCAACCTTAACAAATCTGTACTATTATATAAAAAGATAATATTCATTCAATTGGTTAGACAGTATTTGCTGATTAAGATACATAACATTAAAGCAGTCACTTTTTACTGTGGTCAATTAAAGAAATAAAATTAGCTATACCCATTTTGAAGAATTAAACATTTTTGTTTAGTGTCTCAAAAGAAAGACATCGAATTTTCCTTCCTCTGCCTAAACAAATATGAAAACCAAGCAGCCGTTAGAATACGAAAGTAATACCTTCCCAAACTAACCTAGAAGTCATTACCCTTATCTTTCATATCTTTCCTTCCAGCTGCCATTTATAGAACACTTATATGACAAGCATTGTGCTAAGAGCTTTGTGTTATCTCATATACCCTTTAAAAGTATTCTATGATAAGGTATTATCCTCATATTAAATATAAGGAAATTAAGCTTTAGCAACCTTAAAATAATTTTTCCAAAGTACAAATAGAACTTATTCCCAAATCTATCAGACTGTAAAACCCATGCTTTTATTGACTACTCAGAGTATACACTAATCAAATAAGAGAAATTGATATTTACAAACAGTCCAAACACTCGGAGTCCAAAAACTCCATAAACCATACTTCAGTTGAATTAAAAATGAGACTCATTGACTGAAATGCACAACTTGGATTTATCTTCCAGGAATTATGCTGAGTAAAAACAGCTAATCCCAAAAGGTTACATACTGTATGATTTCACTTACAGAATATTATTTTAATGAAAAAATTTTAGAAATAGAGAACAGATTATTGGTTGCCAGGGACTGCGGACTGGGGTGAGGGCCAGAAGCTTGAGGGGGGAATGGAGTGGGGAGGAGGAAGCATGGCTGTAAAAGGGCAACCAGAGGGACCCTGGCAGGAGTGTAATTGATCAGTGTCTTAAAGTGGTAGCAAACACAGGCATGTACACATGGTGAAACTTGATTAGAACTAATACATGCACACACAACGACACAAGTAATACAGGGAGAGGCTGAATAGGATCAGTAGATTCTATCAACATCAAAGTCCGGGTTATAATACTGTTATATGTTTATAAGACATGACCATTAGGATAAATGGTACATGGCATTTCTCTGTATTACTTCGTACAACTGCATATGAATTATCCGAATTTAAATTTTCAATAAAAAACAAAAATGATCCAAGTGCGGTGGCTCAAGCCTGTAATCCCAGCACTTTGGGAGGCCAAGGTGAGGGGACTGGCTGAGCCCACGGGTCTGAGACAGCCTGGGCAACCTGGCAAGACCTCATGTCTACAATAAATAAAAAAATTAGCCGGGCATGGTAGCACATGCCTGTAATTTTGGCTACTTGAGTCTGGTGACAGAGTGAGACTCCAACTTAAAAAAAACAAAAAACCAAAAATCATGTGGTCCATAGGAGGATATTGCAAATAATGATCAGAAAATGGAAACCAATCCTTGCAAGTTGTTTCTTGCTCATTCTTTCTCCCTAGGTATATAAAGATGCTCCCAAACTCCCTTCAACATATTGTTAGAGTTATATTATTTCAAGATAACGAAGAAGGGATCATTATCAAGAATTTTAGCTCTTGAATTCTATATACTTTACTGGATCCACTTACTAGGATCCCGTCATGAACTCCCGAATTTTATTCTATGGCTCTCGCTTACTACTTACAAGACTTCAAATTCTAGCCCCTTAAATAAAATAGGGAGGGGAAGCTTTCTAGGTTTTAAAAGTATTTTATCTAGTGAATGCTCTCTTATGAATTTTTCTTAAATTGTTGACTTTTAGTTTATAAACCATCAAAATTTCTTTAAAATATTTTAATTGTGCTAGGGAATGGGCTAAGGAATATAAAATTACCATGTACATACTTTTTTTTTTTTTTGGAGTTGGAGTCTCACTCTGTCACCCAGGCCAGAGGGCAGTGCCATGCTCCCAGCCACCACAGCCTCCACCTGCTGGACTCAGGCGATCCTTCCACCTCAATCTTCCAAGTAGCTGGAACTACAGGCTCGCACCACCATGCCCAGCTAATTTTTTGATTTATTGTAGAGATGAGGTCTTGCCAAGTTGCCCAGGCTGGTCTTGAACCTGCAGGCTCAGGCAATCCTCTCACCTTGGCCTTCCAAAGTACTGCGATTATAGGTATGAGCCAACACACCCAGCCTCATATACATGCTTGTAACTACTGAGACAGAAGTCTGTGTAACACCATAGTTTTTTAAAATACTGTCTTTATCCTTTAAGCCCCTCAATTGTTTCTACTTCCCTCTCCCCTAGAGGTAAAAATAAATTTTATTTGTTACTAATTTCACTTTTCTTTGTGATGTATCGCTAAACTAAATATACTTGAGAGTTTTTTCCCCGTTTTTGGACTTTAATATTAATGGAATCTAATGTGTGAGTTCTTCTATAATGTGCTTCTTTTAGTTAATGCTTTATTTTTGACATCTATTTAAGAAGATGAAGTTTATAGTAGCTTACTCATTTTTCCTGTTTGTTTCCATTTTATTAAAATATCACAACTTATTCATTCTATTCTTGATCCATACAGTAGGCAGAATGCAGCCCCCAAGATATCCATGCCCTATTTCCTGAAACCAGCTATATATTATTTTTACATGGCAAAAAGGACTTGACCAATGTGATTAAGTTGGGAATCTTGGGATGACTATCCTGGATTATGCAAGTGAAACAAATACAGTTAAAGTTCCTTCTTTTTTTTGTTTTTTTTTTTTTGAGTCGGAGTCTCACTCTGTCGCCCAGACTGAAGTGCAGTGGCCACTCCCGGCCACCGCAGCCTCAACCCGCTGGACTCCGGCGATCCTTCCGCCTCAGCCTTCCAAGTAGCCAGAATTACAGGCATGCGCTACCACACCCAGCTGATTTTTTGATTTATTGTAGAGATGAGGTCTCACTGCCCAGGTGGGTCTCGAACCCGCCGGCTCAGGCAATCCACTCACCTCAGCCTCCCAAAGGCACGGGATTACAGGCTGAGCCACCGAGCCCGGCTAAAGTTCCTTCTAAGGAGACAGCAGTGTCAAGAGTCAGAGAGATTAGGAGATGCTACACTGCTCATTTCGAAGACAGAGGAAGAAAGAGGGCACAAGCCACAGATTACAGACATCTCTAGAAGCTTGGGAAAGAAGGCCTAGAAGAAAATGCAACCTTGCTGACACCCTGATTTTTAACCTAGTAAAACGCATTTTCAGACTTCTGGCCCCCAGAACTATAACATAATAAATTTATATTGTTTTAAGTCACTACACTTGTGGTAGCTTGTTACAGCAGCAGTAGCAATTAATAAAACTCATATTTAGATTGTTTGCAAATTTAGCGAAAGATCAATGCTATACAAACGTTTGTGTACATATATCCAGGTATAAATACACGTGCAAGGATTTCTCCAGATTACATGCTTAGAAGTGGAATTGCTCTAAGTACATGGCAGTTTGATTTCTAAAACAGTTGTATCAATTTACTATCATCCCATCAACAATACATGGGAGTTACCACTGAGCCACATCCTTACCAATACCTAATATAAATCTATGCTTTAATTTTTGCCAAGCTAGTAAGCATGAAAGGGTATCTGATTTTCTTTTATTTGTACTAATAAGATACAATGGTCGTGTTTATGAGACATTTTTATTTCTTCTTGTTGCAATGTCTATTTATAGCTTCTGTTAATTTTTCTGTTGGGTTATCTTTTTCATACTGATCTACAGAAATCAATACTGTTTCTCCTCTATTCTATTATATTCTTCCAGGACTCCAATTAGACATATCAGACCTTCTCACTTTATTTGCCATGTATCTTAAGTTCTCTTTAATATTTATTATTCCATTGTCTCTCGAGATTTCATTCTGAATAATTTATTTGCATTTATCTTCCATTTATTCATTCATTCGTTCAACATATTTATTGAGTCCCAACATAAGCTTTGCACCACTGTAAGTGTTGGAAATACATATTTAGAAGGGAAAAAAAAAAGACTAAAATCTCTACCCTCAAAGTGTTTACATCCTCATAGGGAGAAGGAAGTGGGGAACTGAAGTATAGAATGTCAGATGGTAATAAAGTGATATGAAAGAAAACTAGGGGCTGGAAATGGATTGCAGAATTGGAACTGCTACCATTTAAAACAGGAAGTTACAGAAAATCACACAGAAATTTTGATAAACCTTGCAGGAAAAAAAGGAGCCAGACATGCAGCTATCTGGGGGGTAAAGCATTCCAGACATTGGCAATATTACATGCAAAGACCCTGAGGTGGTAAGCACAGCCAAGTTTTTCAGAAACAAGGAGGATTATGTAATAGGTAAGCGGGAGCGAATTAGAAACCATTTTAAGATTTCAGCTTTTATTGAGTCTGGGGTGTTTTTTCACATCAAACAATTCTCCAACTCTCAGAAGACCAACAGGGTGTCCAACAATTCAATTCTGACACTATCTAGAGTTAGTACAGACCCACAAGTTAAGGGCTGAGTACCGTAAGATGAGACCCACAAGTTAAGGGTTGAGTCCCCGAAGATGGCCCCCAATTCAGAAGCCAAGCTCATGTTTTCAGCAACTTGTTCTTCTGACCGACTGGCTAAAAACTGGGAGTTCCCAGGACCTCCTTTTTCAGGTTGATAATTTGCTAGAATGACTCACAGAACTCAGACACTTTACTTACATTTACCAGGTCTGTTTTTTTTTTTTTTAATTGGGGTCTCATTCTGTCACTCAGGCTGGAGTGCAGTGGCCAGATCACAGCTCACTGCAGCCTCAACTTCCCAGGCTCAGGTGATCCTTTTGCCCTGGCCTCCTGAGTAGGTGGGACTACAAGCGTACCATCACCCCCAGCTAATATTTTGGGGTTTTTTTGTAAAGATGAGGTCTCACTGTGTTGCCCAAGTTGGTCTCAAACTCCTGGGTTCAAGAAATCCTCTTGCCTCGGCCTCC